GCCTCAAAACTCAAACACCCCATGATGAATTAATAATTAATAAGTACAGTAATTTTATTATTAACATGTACTATGTGCTTTATTTTGTATAAACAGATATATTGTAGTACAGTAATAATGTGTACTATAAGAAACACTCTTTTTTACTTTGTACGATTCTCCCATCACTCTCCTATTGTATATCAGTCTACGGCCACAAGCGTAAATATTTATGGCTAGCGAAAAAGTGTATACAGTAAACTTTTATCCATGGCATGTTTTAATTGTGTTAGAAAGATGAATATAGAACCATAATGATCCTGAATAAATTTTCTACAAGAATTTGTAATAAAAAAAAAAAAAAAACACATGGTGTATAAAAATCCTGAGGGTATTAAGTCTACAGTAGGCTAAAAGTTACAGTATGTTCGGCATTCTTAGGTACCTTAAGTTGTAAATCCTCCATCCTCTGAAATTTTCCACCTTGGAATACAGTATAGACAGCCCCCCCCCCCCCATTAGACCTGATAGAGGAAGTTTACTGTACTGATAGTACAGCCAACATTCATTGAAGAATTCTATAAAATGGTTTGGCCTGATCACTTATGATTATTTTTCATGCACTTTATGCCAAAGACTGAATACAATTCTTACACTTAAAATTCAAACACTCTGAAGGATTATGGATGAGAGGAAGGCTTAATATGGATGGTGTGAGTGAAAACATCACAACCTAACTGACGGGATTACTGACAAGAGAGAAATTAAATCTATTTAAATAAAAAAAGCTAAAGCTATGAGTGATATGTGGAAAAAAGTCACAATCATGGAAGGCTGCAGACACTAATGTAGATGTGAATGATGAATGGATGACATGCATGACTGATAGGGTACTGTACCCATTTATGAGCTTTAAGATAACTGTATCTGTTCAGAGCAATAAGGAACAACACTCCCAGTACATAACTAACTGTATAGATAAAACTTTCTCCAGCTCCACCCACATTCACATTTATTGACTGCTTTTTTTTACATTCTCTTTTTTTCCCTGCACATTTTTTTTTATTCCTTGCTTCTTTTCCTCTATGTTCGTTCTTGAACATATTTGTATCCTTACATATCCTTTCTATACATTCTTTATCCCTAGTGCAAGCAAGTGGCTTCAAGTGGTGATGCAGTTAGTATTACAAAAGAGTCTGGAGGTGGATTGCAACCTAACATTTTGGAAAAATTGACAAGGTCATCCATTTAAGGAAGAGGACAATTGTTTGAAATGGAAAGTACAGTAAGTCATAAAGTTAAAGGCAGATGTACAGTCACCCAAAAAACTATTAATAAAAAATTGTGTTGAAAAAATATGACACATCAAACAAAGGATTTTGGCAACCCTACCAAGACAACAGGAGTCAGTGTTCATTCTGTAATCAATCTACCCCCCAAGCAGAGGTAGTTTTTTTGAGTGACTATACTAACAACTTTACAGTCTAAGGGTCCTCGCTCACTCTCCTAACTTGATACAGGTATCAGCCGTTTAGCGATCGTTCACTTAGCAATCATTCAGTTTAGCGACAAAATTTCTAGCACCCTTGGTTATTTAACGATCTGAAATTGTTCGGTTTAGCAATCTTTACCTCAATGGGAAAAATTCAGGAGGGAAGTTGAAAAAAATGTGGATTCTATGCTCCAAGTGGGCACCTCTGCTGAGCGAGCGCTGTAATAATAATAATAATAATAATAATAATAATAATAATAATAATAATAATAATAATAATAATAATAATAATAATAATAATAATAATAATAAATGGTTTATTAATAGAGTTGCAGCCGATGGCTGAAAATATACAAACTTACATGTGATTTTTACAAAATTTTTAGGAGTCGACACTTGACATATGCTATCGGGTAAGACGGTGATGGTGGTGGTAGAGGCAGACAGGGACAAACACACCTCCACTTGCCTTCCTCCCTCACTCTCACTCTGTTGTGGGTGTATATGGGCAGGTGTGGGCGTGATGAGAACATGATGGGCAGTAGCATATGATAAAGGTAGGGGATGGTTGGGTAGGCGTGAGGTAGAGGATTGACTGCGTAGCAGTGAGACATGGGTGAGAGGGAGGAAGGCAAGTGGAGGTGTGTGTGTGTGTCCCTCTCTGCCTTTTCCACCACCATCTTACCCGATAGCATATGTCAAGTGTCGACTCCTAAAAATTGTGTCAGTGAATAATAAATGACGTGCCAGAAGCTATACATTCCTCCAGACAAATGTTTACAGACGATGCCAAGATATTTAGGAAAATTAAGAACCAAGCGGACTGTGAAGAGCAGCAGAAAGATCCCGTGAGCTTCAAGAATGGTCAAAGAAATGGCTTGCAAGATTCAGTGTCACAAAGTGTAAGAGGATGTACCCGACTGTACCAAAGGTAAGGAGGCGTGTCATATGTCCCAACGGGATGAAGAAACTGTATTAATTGAGACAATGTGAAAAGGGCCTAGGTGTATATGTTGACAATGAACTGAAGTTCTTAGGCCATTGTGAGAAAAGGGTGAACCAAGCAACTAAATTATTAGGTCTTATAAGGTCGTTCAGATATCTAGACAGTCTATCCCTCGTCGTAACAATCTTCAAGAGCAAGTTTCTTCCCCACCTAGAGTACTGTCACCCCATCTGGTCCTCAAGATATGCTAGGAACTGTCAGTTGATTGAAAATGTCCAAAGGAGGGCCACCAGACTAGTGCCTGCACTTTGGCACCTCAGCTACCCTGAGAGATTAGAGCACCTGCAATTGCCTGGCTTATACTACAGACAGGCAAGGGGGAACCTAACTGAGGTGTATAAACATCTTAAAGGGCACTCCTCAGTTGATTGTCCTAACCTGGATCTGGCAGACACTCGCCCAAAAAGGGGTCACAGCTCAAGGTTGAAGAAGCCGCAAGTCCAGAAAACTGTGACGGAACCAAGTGTGAGCTCTTTCAAGACCAGACTTGACCAGCACTGGAGCAGGTTCAGATACATTCAGGAGCCAGTTCATGCCCAGTACTTGCCAACAGTACGTAACAGAGATGTGACCAACTGCCCAAGCTGCTAATGAGCCGATCAGTGGTGAAGAGGATAAAAGTAAAAAGTAATAAATAGTAAAATAAGTGTAGAATTATGTAAATGTAAGTTAAGTGATGTATGAAACTCATTGCGACATGTTTGCTATGGAGCAGAGGCCTCTGCTAATTGCATTACATTTAGAATTGCCACATGTAAGTAATAAAAAAAATATTATGTTGGAATTCCATTTTCTGTTCACCTACCTATCCAATATTATATACTCACGAGTCTAATATAAAAAAAGGTGGATATAACAAAATTAAGCTATGTAAAATAAATGCTAAGTGTGATATGTCTCACGTCCTACTCAGAGATCGTGGCAATGTTGAATTCAAGGCCGACACTAAACCACTTGGAAAGGGAGACACTATACAGTACAAGAAACTACCTATGAATCGGCCAACCTGAATTTTAGAAATCATTTTCTAGCTTTCCAGCAAAAAACAGAAATAAATTTTTAGGTAACCAGAGGGGGGGTACGTATCTAGGTTTATTAATGGAAACCACTTACTGTAGGGGTATGCTGCCAGCACGCCACCTATGAACCCAGGCCATTATTACATGAGTGTTTACCCTGCCTTTGAACAGTTAAATCTGTGCTTTACCATATTGTTCTGTATATTATCGATTACTGTGTATCATTCCTATTACTGTGCATTCCTGATATTGTTGTGACTTTAGTATTGAGTACTGTATGAACTGTTCATTACCCTGTACTATTGTGTACTAATGTGATTGCTCTGCTCTGCTCTGCTCTCTCCTTCCAGCCTTGTCGGCTAGCTGCAGACCAGGTAAGAACTGTTTACTGTATTACCTTTATGTTTTTGATATGTTTTTGACCTTATGATAATTAGTGTTTTTATTTTGTTTGCACATTCTGTATGAACGAATGTGTGTACCGGTATATGTAACCGAGTACAAGAAAATAAGGAAAATTATGTATTTCTACCCAAAATTATGAATTGAATAACATAGCTCACAGCTCAGCCTCACCCACTCTAAGTGCTACTACTGGGTGGAGAGTCGGCCAGTCAGCAACTCGGCTACACAATTATGTGCCATCTCCACGGATATAATTCTTTATTTAAAATATTATTTCTCGTTTCTGTTCATTGTTATCAAATCACTTAGCGATCTGTTTTTCAGGAACGCTTTCCGATCGCTAAATGACACATACCTGTATTTGTGAAAACCTAAAATTCTCCCATCTTTATGTAAACAAAAAACTACAGTGATTTTGAGAAATATATAAGATACTAAAACAACACTTTTGTTGTATGAAAAAAAAAAGTAAAGCAAAAATTACAATAAATTTTAAAATACTGTATATACAGAATTCCAAGGTAAAGATCTTATTATTCTGAAGAAAAAAATAAAAAAGATTCCAAATCAAAGACTACATAGTAAATCTTCTATTGTTAGCATGATGTCTAGCTACTCATGAATAGTTAATTGTTGAAGGGAATTCATCTCGGTCAAAATGCACACTTTCTTGACTGTTATCCCACAAACCAATAAAGAAGACTCATGAACATGTAGGTATTTGAGTAGACAGACATGACTGGAAGTAAAGTACAGTACAGTACAGTATGTGAGCTGGAAGGTACAGTGGTTAGATCAAAGCTGTGGAGGTTGGCCATTAGTGGGGAAAGTGCACACAAAAAGGATTAACACTGGATGCACCTTACTGATGCAATAATATTGTAATGAACAACATTATCGTGTACAGTAGCTAGAGATGATGCAGTACAATACAATGAATAATGCAATAAATATTTGACCCATAAATATTACCTAAAATAATATTGGTGGAAAATTTATATTGTAGTCATATACTGTACGTAATTGTTAAATAGCTCAATACATATCACTAAAATATGAAATTAACATAGTTCTTAGAAGGGATTATAACACACTGAAGATAGTTTCACATGTATAGTTTCTAACACAAGAGATATTTTAAGTACAAATCACCTTTGAGTGATGTTCAGTGATGAGCAAATGTAACTGACAAACATGAGATTATATTTTTTTTCTGCATTTCAGAATATTCCAACACTTACTGAAGAGGACCTGAGTACTGTACAAATATCAGTACAGTACAGTCTTTACACCATGTAAATTTTGTTGCTGTATACTGTACTGTATTACAATATTCAAGAAAATTTATTAATTAAATACACGGTAGTACAATTCTTTAAGCCCCATAATTTAAATTTAACTTTTACTTAAATGTTTTGTTTTATATGTACAGGTACTTTATATCTTTTAGAGGTACCACCCCTGTTGTTGGATTTCTGATCAACCCTCTCGCACAATGTGATGCAAATCATTGGGTAGCACTATTTGCGTCATTAAACTTTAAAAATTCGTCCTCCCTAAAAAGTTTCCAAGATATATAATTGCATCAAATTTTCTTGCGTCATATATGAATTCATGATCTTGCGAGTCAAAGTTCCAGAAAGTACCAAAACGCTGATGGAGTTCTGCTGTCCATCAGTTTCCTCCCGTCAGCTGTGCTGGTAGGTTGCATTTCTCTCTCTATTTCCTCTCCCACCCTTCCCACAATCAGTCATTTCAAAATTCCAAAGCCACCGTTGGAAAGCTCATAAATTCCACTTTTATAACTACTGTATATAGTATATAACACTGTACCTTGGTAGGTTTGTGAAAAATATCCAAGATATGATGCTGGGAAAACATTCATGATATTTTATTTAGTCTGAATGAAAAAATAGTCTTATTTTCGTCGTTGTCTTCCTACTATGTTAAAGCCAAAACAATAATGAAGCCAATGATGTACATATCATGAGAAAAATTTTATTTCTTGTGTGATAAATTGGCCGCAGAATGAAGATAACCAGACCTCATGTGAGTGGTCCCATATGACTTTTGTTGTGGTCAAGGAAACTTAAAAACTTATTGCATGCGCGAGAGGGTTAAAAAAAAAGTCCTCTTTTTTACCACCGATTCCCTCCACTGATTAATGGTACAAAGAGCAATCTGATAACATTTTCCTCTCTGAAACAATTAAAAACAATGAGTACTGTACCTGTATAGGTAACAATACCAATTAAAAGAAATTTCAGTTACATAATTTTTCTATTAAAACATTTCATTTGCAATAGAATATCTGTACTTTAGGGACTCCAAAAAGAAATAAATAGCAAAATATAACTACAGTATGTACAGAACTTGTGTCCATCAGTCTTTAGGTGTAAAAATGAAGGACTGATCCCGTAATCCCATTTCATAGTGGAGTTTGGATATAAATTTATATTTACTGCCCATTAAATCTCAAGGGGTTACAAACCTGGCTAAAACCTAATGGTGGCTGGCACTAATCAAACTGTAGGTAAAACTCTCCTGTTACAACCTTATCCCTCAGGGAGAGGTCTGCAAGGTAAACTCATCAATCAGTGTTAAGAAGTGGAAAGTCCTGGTGCTTGTGCATCACAACCCTTCCTTGTCCAAATTAACCTATCTTGGATTTCCAGGAATAAGCCTCAGTCCAGCTTAACCTTTTGACCAAAACCTTTGAGATGCTCAATGAAGAGAAGATCCAAATATGTAACCAGTACATCTCTTCTAATGGCACAACTCTCTAATATCTGTGTACTTGATGCTAGGACTAGCAAGAAAAACACTTTCCTTGAAGTCAGCTTCAGTCCTTCCATCAGGTTTCAAATTGATTCAAAGTACTTTAGCATGTACTCTAAAGATCTGGTTGAAGTAAAAATGTTAAGAAGCATTGGTTATGACAAAAGCTTCCCTTAATGAGAACTCCAGAGCAGAAGTCTACTTTGAAGTGTAACCATCCATCAATTCCAAGACTGAAACTTGACCCACAAAAGCTGAAGTTTTTAAACATTCCACATCTTCTCCAAAGGGTAAGTGTAGCAAAGCCTCGACAAATACCTGAATTTGTGGAAAAGATGGCTGGACTGAAGCTTGTTACTGGAAATTCAAGGTAACTAATGAAAACCAAGGAGATTTGTGATGTGCCAGTAGCAGCAGCACTATAACTACCTTAGCTCTCAACACTGAGTGGTTACATTCACCTCCCACACTAGTCCCTGAGGGTCAGGGTTCAGGGTTGTGATGGAAGACTTGTACTATTTGCTTAAATAGTGTCGGCCATCATTGTCAAGAGTTAGCCTAGGCTGCAACCTGTGAAACATGCTGGATACTAAACATCAGTTTCCTTCAACAGACTTGAGACTATAAAAAAAATATTTGTTATTGTAAGAAAATAGAAGGGAAAAGTTGAGGCGACTCTCACAGTTAATGTTTGTTCTTCTGGCACCATATAGTAATAAATACTGTACACACTTTATCCCTACACTTCATCTTCAACACTCGTACATAAATGTGTCACAAAACTGCAGTGGGTCATATCACTAGTCTCAAACATTCGTGCATTTTTCATCAACCTACCAATACTCAAATATTTGTGACATGAACAAAATAAAGACAATTTTCTCTAAGTTGTAAACAAGTACAATATGTAATTCATTGCATTAACAGTTATGGTTAATATCTCAGGTCATAGCATCAGTGGTATAGAACTTTCTGAACTATTAAAATGAGCACTTTGTATAAAGACAGAAAACAATAAAAAATTCAATCATATTTTAAAAATATCACTTAAAACATGCTCATATGAAATATTCCTTCCTAGTATTAACGTGGCATTATTCACTCTCTTCTTTATGATCTTTAGTTATATTTTGGTTCAATTGATCATTTTCAAATTCAACAAAGTCATCAAAAAGGCTGGGCCACGCTTCTGTATCATCATAAGAACTTAGATCTTCCCCCACAACTTCTGTAAAATTTAGGAACATATTCCAGGTGTCTCTGGGAATACCCCGAATATTTGGATGCCTTTCAAGGAAAGTCAACCATCTCTTTAAAATAGAAGGTTCATGCTGTGAAAAAACAAGCTTCCATAGCAACACTGCCATGTCGGACGGTAGAATTCGTTGGCTGGCATCAGCATCCAGGCCAAACTTGAAAGTAAATCTATACAAGTCTTTGAATTTTTCTGGATCCTGGACCTCAAGCAGCATGTCTGAAAATCTGGACTGTATACCTTTAATAGAGTCCACTCTCAGGGCTTTGCACCCACTCACAAATTCTCCTCTACTAAATCTGCACATTGTTTCAGCCCCAAATTTCCAAGCTAGAACTAACACTTTAAACTCTTCAGGTTTTACATCTAAATCCATACAAAGGCATTCAATGCCTTCTGAGAGGATGTAGTCACACTGGCAGTCCTTATACTGATCAAATAAAACACAAATTTTTGCTTCAGAATAGTCTTTGGATGATAATCTTCTGACTTCATTGCTGGCAGACTTAGCAAGTGGTGGGATTCTGGAATAAAATGAACGTTTTTCTGGGGCACTGATAATTACAGAATTTTTTCCACTGCCATTACTCTGTGCATCAGGTGGTGGTACTGGAGAACGCCCCTCCACACCACTAAGACTGCTGCCACTCTCGCTTACCTCTGGATAAGAAAAGGGATAGAAAATAAATTTCTGACACTTTACATACACACAAAATACACGAAGAGAAGCAATGAGTTTGAAGCAGAGACCATGTTCACCCTATAAATCCCTAACTATTGAAATGTCAGCTTTTTTAGTTCCTTTAAAAATCTAAAGTTAGTGCACCCTATGATATTATTCTAGTTTTCCTCCACTGGCTTATAGCAGTTGAGTCAGTACTTTAAAAAATGAGATACAGGCAATACCTTTAATCTAAACTCAGCTAAATGGATTAATATCAAAATAGAAAACTGTTCCTATGAAGACACTGGATTTTTTTTCTTCATATAATCTAGCTGTAAGAGGATAATGGAGTACTGATCCTTAAGTCTAATACTCTAATAATCTCTTTCTGCAATAGCCAAGTTTGGAGGCTTGGGCATTATAAATGAGAGCTAATTTTATGACTGCCAAAAGTAAAATGGCAAAATGGCTTCCCAGAATTGTGAACAAGAGTAGTACTGAATTAGTAGCTCAGCTCAAATTAAACCTTTGGCTCTAGTGAGACAACCTTCACTTATTTTGAGGGAAACTGTTGTGCTGGGGAGGAATGGGCAATCATATGATTAGGCCCTAGCTGTCAAAAGAGGACTTAAGTTTGATAAATTGTAAACTGTACAACCATAACACTCCCTGGTAGAGCTTGCCATTGTTGGAAGAATCCAACATGATTAGCAACTGGTTTACATCACCCAGTTGGACAAAGTATTGCCTTGTAAAACATGATATTCAGTAGCACTTCCAAATTGGAACTATCCTGTAACCCTATTCCAAACATAAACAGTTCAAAGTGGAGTACAGTATCCTCTTAGTAGCCTTTGGTCAGACCCCAAAATTGGTTAACAGTGATGAGCTATGTGCTGCGAGTTACAGTATGATACTGAGTAGTACTGGTCCTGCTAATCAGCATGCCCACAAACTAGTGACTGGGTAGCTAAGCGAATGTATACACTCTCGTAACATGACAAATACTAAAACCTCAGACTGCATGGCAAATATGCGATTAAAATATATTAAGGTAAGTACTTGGCTTCCAAAATAGATGAAGTAAGCCAGGAAGTTCTCTTAGCAATCAAATGATGAGTGGAACTGAAAGAGACTGGTCATATTGTATTGTCCAGTTTGTAAACAACTGTAACTTGGGTCACACGCATGTTAGAACAGTGGGTGAGGACTCTAATTTTCTATGTCGACTATTGGAAAGCCAAGTTAAGTGTGCATGGCATCCATTAGTGATTAAATTCTGAATACCAGAAAATATCAGCCTCAAACTTTGATATCAACACCTAACCACTATGGTCATATGCAAATAAAAAATGTAAACCTTGCACATTGAGTGACACCAAGGATGACCCCCTCAGCTCTTACTAAGACACCAATCTTGTAGCACACAATACTGTAGTAGTTAAAGCAGAGTGGTATACACTGGACCTTTATACAAATAACAAATGCAATAAGTGTAGAATACAACTTTCCTCCATGGTTGGTCCACCAGCAAAGCAAGCAGGGAACTGCATAAATAATAACATGCCTGTTCAGTCTGGCAAGTACACTATACCAGGAAATCAAATACCCTGCACATTGAAACTCCATTTATGGCATAAATGGAAGTTCAGAATATGCATTGAGACATCCTTGCATTTCAACCTGAGTAACTAAAGCTTCAATAGCTCTTGAAAGAGTCACTGTACTTAGAGTTCATACCCATATTAAATGTTGGTTTTGTTGCGTGGTTAGCTGCTTTGCTGGGTAATGTAATGTCCACCTGGATAATATATCCTGCCATTAAACATGTTAGAACCCTCTGACAATGACAGGCTCTGACAGTGGCTATTTCAGTAGCACAGATCTCACGTGACCCTTGATAAAGACTTGGAAGGCTATAAAAAAAAATCGACTATGGAAGCTAGTAGAGGTATTGTATTACGCCCCAGTTATCACCTCTGGTTCGTTCGTATTCGTGCCGGGGAGGAGGGTGTTGTAATGTAGGATGGTGCGATATGCTACGTTGGTGGGCGGGTGGAGGGACCTTTAGACAAGACAGGCACTTCCCCATTGGTCCCGCTGCCCGCCACACCTGACCCCCCAGGCCGGCACCTGCAAAAAATAAAAAGCCTAAGTGACTGCCAGGAAAACTAACTTGAATTGGTGGCATAGCAATGGGTGACTATCACCTATATTTCATTGAAACTAATCCATGTTATCCTTAACACACGAAGTTTTCCCAATTGGCAGAATACATAAATGAGTCCCATCATATGTTACATTTCTATCAACAACACCTTTTACTTCTGAAAAGAAGTGATTGCCGACTGTACAATGATACGGTATATCATTTTTATTCATAATAATATATTAGTAATAATAATAATAATAATAATATCCTACAAAGATGATACTTGTTGTATTAATAATAAAGTAGGTAAGATTTGTGATTTTCCAAATAATATTACACAATATTAGTTTGGCAATGCACACAAAGCAAGAAGACAACTTATCTAACTTAGGATTTGTATTATTACAGTATTATTATTAATATTTCAGGCAGGTGATGGCTACAATTTCTGTATTTATGGGAAAAATCATGGATAAAAGTTGAATGCAAAAAGTGTTATTCCTCCATCTGAATTGCTTTAGTCTTGATATTAGAAATAAGATTTCTTCTATAAAGATTATTTAAGTGGCTGGATAACTTGGGCTACAGTCTTTAAATGTTACATAAAATGGTAACCCTCTCCCTAATTCTTACCAATAAACAAAAGAGTAAGACATTATATTATTAACAATTATGTTCCACTGTTGGGGTATAGTCTGACTTGTTTACCATGCACCAATTTTGATAGTATTCTAAAAAGAGAGAAAAAAGGGAAGAAGTATCCAACACACTTCATGTCCAAAAAAAAAATAAAATAAAAAAAATATGCAGTAGAAAAGCCTGCAACATCATATCAGGAGTTGGACGATGACAAAACACAGATCTGTTGTACGATTTAAATTCATTAATAGCAAATTTACTTGTGGAGAACTTAATTAGTTGTTTTGGTCATTTTCAAACTATTTTGCTTGTATTAAATCATTTGATTTTATGTACAGGGGAAGCTATATCAATTTGTACAGTACAGTATATAGAGGATGATAAAGCATAAAAAATAATACTTTATTCTCCTGCATTTTGTAAAGAAACTTATAGTTTGGGGAGATTTTTTTATTATACAATAAGAGAAAATCATATACAGGGGGTCCTCGTTTAACGTCGGGGTTACGTTCCTAAAAAACTCGACATTATACGAAACAACGTTAAGCGGATCAATTTTCCCCATAAGAAATATAAAAAATACAGGAGTTACATTCCTGAGCCTTCCCTTGCCCCATGAAATACATTACATATACAGAAAATCATTGCCATTTCTAAAGAAAATAGTGCATACATTTACAACTACTAAGTTTGTATTGGTACTCACCAATGGGCGGAGGTGGTAGAGCAAGTGTGTGGTGGGTAGAAGAGGGGAGGAGTATGGCAGGAGCGGAGGAGGGTGGGAGCGGAGGAGGGTGGTGAGTCACTGAGACTGCGCCAAGCCGAGAGAGCATAGCACGGCCAGACGAGAGAGGGTGATGCACAGTAAAATGTAGTCTGTGACGACGCAAACGACGTAGTATCGGAACACCGGGAAGTTAAAAAAATTTTTGGTCTCTAAGGTTTAACGACATAGTACTGAAACAACGTTAAGCGGGACGATGTTATACGAATAGCTACTGTATCTATGGCAGATTTTCAGTTCGCTAGAGTAAATTTCATGGAATTTAATGTTTACATCTACTTCACGAGATATTCACATGTTTAACCTCGACCAATCAGGGGACATCACTCTATTACATGAGAGATCTGAGCACGTCCAAGTATTTCAAATGAAAATCCTCAGTTGCAGTGTCTCATTCTTGTGTCTCGGATGTTCTGCGTGGAGTAGAAAATCATTCAATGTTTTTAGACAATAATGTTGCTGCCAATGATGTTTCCAAGGCTTTTGGTATATTGCTTACTTCTTTAATGTCCACAGTTTGATGCAGACTGCCATTATCATGAAGATAGACACGTTTGGTAATGCATGAAAACAAGCAAATCAAAATCAAAAGTAAGGTGGTGAGGTTAGGTTAGGTTAGGTTAGGTAAAATCAGGACAAGTAAGGTCACATTTCCTTTGGTTTAGTTTAGTAAGACATGTGTGTGTTTTTACCCCACAATTTCCATCGACTTCAAAGCCCTGCCCACTTTGTACATCAAAATCGTAGGTAATGGAAGTAGGTCATATCTCCATAACTACTGTATTCAAGTCTGCCAGAAATGAAGGCCAGAATCTTTTAAACCACCATCAAAAACTTATGAACGGTATTTTTTTTTTACAAGTAGACAACCAACGAACTTCATGAATTTTTTATTCCCATTTTTAGCCTTTTTTTTCTATATAATATGTTCGTAAATGTTAGGTTAGGTTTGGTGCTTTTAGGTTGTTGAGTAATGTGTTTTTTCTGCCCTTTTTTGTTGTGATTAAAAGAAATTTGACCACGATTTTTGCCGCCAATTAGCTGTGTGTGCTTCCCCCACCCAAAACCCCCGATTTCCCTCGGGTCCCCCATATTGGAGAGGAATAACTCAAAAATGGCTAATTTGACAAAATTCCTGGTCAAATTCGTTCAAATCACAACCAAAAAACATCTGAAAAACACATTTCTGAACCAAAAATCCACGGTTGTCCCCTTGTAAAAATTTACCATAAGAACTTTGCTATACTGTATCCTCTTTGCCACTTGTCAGCTGGTTAGCCACTTGGACAATCGGTCACGTCTGTTTGCAAGTACTGGGCATATACTGGCTTTTGAATATCTGTACCTGCACCAGTGGTACAGATACATTCTGGTGCTTATTTTTATTTGATTCCCATCTATGTACTCTTATTACATCTTTAACAACTGGCAAATTCATTGGTCAAAAGGGTAAAATTATCGTTTTTGGTCCTGCACTTATTTAGAACACATCAAAAATCATCGAAAAAACCCAACCTAACCTAACCTAAACTTAAAAAATTAGCTGCATGACTGAAACGATAATAATTTCGTCAAAAGTGTATCATAAACTGGCTAGTGGGTGTAGCCTTTCCAGGTGCTCTGACTTCATGTACTACATATAGTTCATTATATATATATATTAATAATGATAAGATCACATACAGTATATAACAACTTCAAGAAAATGGTAAGCTAGTCATTTCTACCTTAAAGTTAACAGCTAATGGTTTAATTTTCGCTGATGTATAAAGACCAATTTCACTTGCACATCTAATCTATGACTATTTAATACATACAAAGATCCACTTACATGACTAGAACATTTGTATGACATTTAATCTCTAAGAACCTAATTTTGGTTCTCGGCCAGGATGACAGCACATCACATTCAAACTAGTTATTAGTAAAGGTTCAGACCACGTATATAAGAGTTAACTGACAAGTCACACGTTCCCAGACATTACATGATATTTTTTAAACCACAAATACTTAACGTAAACTTCTAAAATATCTTCAAAACATTAGAAAAAGTAAAGATGGTCAGGCCAAAGGTGTTGGCTTCCAGAGTGGCTCACCTTCCTTGCTTCCTCAGCGAGAGTCCTGAGCTGCCGCCGCCACCATCACGACATAGTCTTCCTCATCTCTGCACACTTACTATCTCGGAATCATTGTCCTCTGCCCAAATTTCACATCCACATATTGAATCACATCGATATATCTCCCTTCAATGCCTTTCACGCGCGAGAAACAACACATACACCAATTAAGGGCAGATGGTGTTGGAACATAATGAACGTAGTTATAGAGGGTTAACTGTCCAGGTAGAGGATCTGATCACTTCTACACAGTTATGAATACCAAAGGATGGTTCCGCGTTTATACTTCCTCTGTCAGCCGGGAATAACAAGAATCACTTCAATGTTTTCTAGTTGAAAACCATGTGAAAGTATTTTAGTGAATACCGACCTTAAAACCATTTGCGTTAATAAATTAACTGAATACAACATATGACTGCCAGGTGGGGTTTTTTTTAATTAAGACGGTATTAATACTTTGCTACGTAAATAATTCTTCACAAAGATTGAAAACAGTATATTTTGTGATTTTTAATAATAATGAGGAAATTTATAATTCCCCTGACAAAATATTATCTGACATACATGCGCAAAAAACTTTGTAAATCATTAAATAATTTTATCTATACATGCAGTTGAAAGGTTTGTTCGTCCTCATATATTAGCTAGGTCTTTCAACATTTCTCAGTTCTTCTAGATCAGAGTTAATGATTCTGACTTGAATGTTTTTAAGTGCAGCATTGGACAGGCCAAGGTCACGATCAACAATATTTTTTCTTACATGCCTCATGGCGAGTCTTATCAGCACGGTCATGATATCTAATTCCAACATGGGACGGAATCCACACAAATTCGATACGAGAGTTGTTCTCTTTGGCAGTTATCACATTCCTTTTAATATCACATACAACTTTAGACATAGAGCCTGACGGGCTGTTCATTGATTTCAAAGCACCTTGAGTCACAGAATATCACCCCACCTCCATTTTCTTTTAAGGTAGTCTGTGGCTAAGTAGATTCCCATTAGTTCAGTTTGTGTTGTGCTGGCCCAGTTGTTCAGCCTTTGCTTGTTTGACACTATCATCTCTTTTTCTTTATATATTACAATTGCACAGCCTGTTCTACCTGTGTTTGTCTGCACAAAATCACCAGTAAAAGCATAACATTCACTTGAGTTGATACTCTGTGTGTGACACGTCTCATCACATCGGTGTTTAACATTCGCTTACTACCAACAGGAGTGTAATTATTTACAAATTCGAGTAAACTCACGTTCATGATTAGCGTCGCATCCCCTTTGCTGGGTTTGCTTAGAACACCTGATTATAAAAACAACATAGAACAAACAGTCTACATATTTGTAGAGATTTGTTTAGAACTTCGTGGACGGTTTAATGAAGTTTCTGTTTTCCCCTGGCCCTTTTATTTTCATGTGGTTTATCATGTTCACCACTGATCAGCTTAACAGCCGTCCGGGATGTTGGTCTGTTCTTTGTTACTTTATTGCCCAGTGTTAGAACAGGAGGGAACCAGAGTCCCAGGAGAAAACCTGCGGCTTGGTATGGTCAAACTGAACACCCTTCTCACACCTGCCCAGGGCTGGGGATCGAACCCAAGATAGTTAATGAGAGATAGGCGCACACCCAATCTCCTTTCCCGATTCATTATTGTTTTATACTTCTTTCAGTTTCTCAATATATCTATATGCAGTAGCTGGATAATACTGTATTTTGACAACTTTGTGTTATTTCTATAACACTCGGTGTACCTTATCATCAAGAGGGTTATACTATAACAAACTATAAGACAAAATGGTTTATTAATAATGCACACACTTGCGTGAGGATCAAATCTTGGTATACCAACTGTAAGATGTTAATAATACACTTCTTCCTATCCTGCAGTCTCTCTTTTTCTTTCAATAGAAAAACTCCGATAAATCTAATTAAGCAAAGTAAAAGAAAACAGTGGTGCTAACCAGGGATTTCATCCTCTTGGTGGTAAAACATTGTAAATTTTTCAATATTTTTTTTTAAATATACTAAATAATGTCTTAATTATATATGCCAAAATGCTGACGCAAGTCACTGGACCAGCTGGAGCGTTGCGCCTCAATTTGTTAGGATCCTTTTAGTCTATGTGACAGGAACTCTGGAAATATTTTCTTTGTATTTTACAGAAAATATTTCTATTGCTTTAATTTTATGGATTAAGAGATACACATTACACGTTTTAATTCTGAATCATGGCCGACAACATGAACCAGAGAAGACAGACACGTGACTCGGGACGTTGCAAAGGAATCTCGGCAGAAGCAAACGTTGAAGACCAGCTTAATATCTACCAGACTCCAGCAGACATGAACACTATTGACTGAAGGATCACGACTATGTCCCAAGCTAAGGTTCATGAAGGTGGTGGCTGCTGTAAGGGCTGTGGATGACCTTAAGATGTCTGGCAGTAGCATGGCCCATTTATTTCACTGGGGTCGATACAGGTCAGAAGGCTCAGAGAGAAGTGGTTCCCTGTAGAACACGACATGTCGTGCACCGTGCCCAGGGAGCACTGTAGGAACCTGTACACGAAGAAGTTACAGTTACTGATGTAGCAAAATAGTTGTATTCTACAAGTTTAATACAATTTATGCGCGCACGCACGCACGCACACACGCACACACAGGACTCGCCTGGAACAGTCGGTGGGGTGGAGGTAGAAATTTCCATTGTTGAGGTCGTCACAGGGCGCCGTGATGACTGTGTAACACTCTGCACAGTGAAGCAAATTACTGAATTAGTTGAATATTTTGTTCTCATAATAAATGACAAAGAACTGTAACATTTTAACACAGCAATACTGTTTTGATGTCGGTGTTAGATAAGTTTTAAAATAATCAATTTGTCAGGACGATGATTTAAATCTTTGAGGAATATGATTTATACCTTCGAGGACGATAATCTAACCCTCCTAGACTGAAAGGGTTAAGATCAGAGTCTACTAACACCTACGATGCAACACAGCGAGAATATAATGAGGAATAACTTCATAAATAAACTACTTAAGGGCGTAGATTTTCTATATATCAAGATGAATACAAAGACCAAGAGGTAAATAGTGTGTGCGTCTGGCCAGCCTGCAGAAGGACCACCTCGCTGGGTACTACTACAGTATACTAACCTGCTGAACTAGTGCCTCCAGCCGTGTCTTCCTGTAAAACAAATCACATAATAGTTCTTATCTTGTGTATTCCTTACTTCTCAAGAAGATAAAAGGACTAAAATAAATCATAAAGCTCGATATATGTTCACTGAAAAGAGAACATGTATAAACAAAAATACCTGATGAATGTGTATATAAATGCGCTCGTATATGTCAGTTTAACGTGACTATGATGACCTTGAGGTATTAAGATCGAGACATTTTATTATCACTGCAACGACAAATTTCAAGTAATACATTTGTGAGTTTTATGCTTCAAGTAAAGATAAATATATACACAACAAAGACGAGGAGAGATCAATGATGGGGAAGCAAGAGTCTGAGTTACGAGATGGAGGAGGACAATAGAGAGTGACACTAAGGAAGGTAAAGGTTGTGAGGGGAACATATTCAGGTTGATAGATAGGCAGAATCAACTAACAGAAACATGGATCCACACAGAAAAGGTAAACAGAGGCGTATAATGTTGGCAGTCAGTTGAAAAGATAAACAGACAGAGCAACAGACACACACAGTCTGGTAAGTATCTTCCTTACTGTGAGGGTCCAGACGAGGTTGTGGAGACCAGGTTGGAGGGCAGAGGTAAGTGTGGCCGGGGGAGGGAGGCCAGGACCAGCCACACTACACCACACCGCACCACCTCCCATGGGCGCTGCTGTGGCGAACGTCTGTACGCCATTTTGTTCAGCGATCACAGCGCACTGAGTAGCAGAGCAAGAAGACAACGAGACTTACACCAGAGAAAATAGGAAATAAAAATATATTATGACGAGTGAATGTGATCATTCTGGAGTAGAAAAACAAAATCAGATGAAAATAAAATAGCACAAAAGGTTGGAGTTAAATCCTGCAATCCTGCCACCAGTGTGCTGGGGTCAACGCTGGCGGTAGTGAACACTTCTTCAGCGTCAGGGAAAATTAAGATGGAGATTTACTTCACGGTAAACCGAGTATTGTCTTATGTAATTCACATTATATCTCACAACTTGTTACCTGCATCTTGGTAATTAGGATAGGGAATAGATGATGATGTTGATGATGAACTACCGATAGTGAGTGCTGGGTGCCAGTCCTGTCAGTGTAGTACTGTAGACTCTAATCTTAACTACAAAACTCGCCTCTATCGTCGCCAGATCTGATCATTAAACACGTCCATGTAGCCAGTATAAAATCAGTATCCTTGGTTAATATCGACTCTCGGTGACCTAAATATTCAAATAACTTTGAAACAAAACAGTGAACTTAAGTCAAGTACCTGTAAGGCTGCATTTACACCAAGCCAGTCAAGTCAAGTCACGTCAAGTCATGACTCATCGTGAATCGCCACTCTAATGCACATTTACTCCAATGTATATTCTCAGAAACCATTCCCACCAGATGAGTCAAGTCAAGTCAAGTCAAGTCAAGTCAAGTCACGTCGCATCGTGTCACGTCAAGTCACAGATGGGGTTGGGCCCATTTTCTTCATCAGTCACGCCGAGTCCGCAGTGGTGTGTACATCATGCAGGTTGACGTCCTGATAAATTTAGTTCGAGAGCGTCCACCAACTTTTTGAAGTTTTCAACTCATCCGAAAGAAATTGTAGAATTTGTCTTGATGGTTCACCAAGTCTGGGCATAAATGACTGAAGCTTCCAAAATTGGGTCTTTTGGTGTTGAGTTCATGCATCCAGATTCGGGTCCTCCTCTTGCGTTTACGACGCCGAATCCACAACAAAACAGCTAATTCAGAGAGAGAATATGCGTCCACCCTCCTCGAAATCAGTCTGGGTACTGAGTCCGGATTGACTCAGGTTGACTCAGTCGGTGTGAACGGCAATGAGTCAAGTCAAGTCAAGTCAAATGACTTGACTTGACTTGACTGGCGTAAATGCAGCCTAATGGTTATTAATGTTCCGCTGAGCACAATTACTGTACACCCATTAACTCAGGTAATGGACGAGTTGCCGGTTCTGGGTAAACACAAGAAATA